AGGCTATATCTTAAGTAACCTAATGGTACTGTAATCTGTTAATCATGCACATCATAAACCCGTCTTTTTAGGCAAGTGCCAAACAATGGGTGTAATGGCATGAAATGTTTTTAATACGACGGAAAGTGTATTTAACGTTATCACAATCTATTAAAAACATTGTAAGTTAGGCCAGTTAATTGTAATGATTTCATTTCCAAGGTTATTCAATCAACGGATACAGAGAAAACGAACAAAGAACACCGTATCAACGGAGCTTTTTGAAACTGAATCAGTTAAACCATTGAGTCGCAAAATGATTGACGGTTTCGAACCGCTTCAATCGGATCGCGAATCACGGGACTTCAGAGCGCGTATCGCAAATCATTTGATTTAGATCAGGATCTAAATCCCCATTATATAAAAAAATATATAATGTATCATATACATACGTTTTTTACACACTTTTTTTTTTGTTGAAAATTAACCCTCCAGTAGCATTATTAGATTTGCTTATGGCCTGTAGTTCAGATGTTATTTTAAACAGATCGAAGAAATATTTTAACAGTGAAAAATTACTTTAGCTTAAATTAAAGCTATATATTTAAAACCTACTTTCATAAAAAAAATATTTCGAAAGATTATTATATTTTTTGCCATATTCATGTATAGTTTTACAGTCGCAACACCTCAAATGACTAAGATAAAGTGGCGGAACCCAGTTAACGGTACCACGGTCACTGTTGTAGCGGGCTGGTCTGTGGAGGCAGGTTGAATGATGCGTCATATTTACGCGACGCTGTTTTAAGGAGCGGCGCTTTGTATGGAAATCGACCGAGGATTTGTCAAGTTAAATTAACAGCTTAATAAACTCCAGGAACATGGGTCCAGTTGAGGTAAATAATACGATCAGAATCTTATTCAAGTTATTAGCAAGCACAAAGTTTTAAATCATTGAAAACCATGGGAAACATGGTTCAGCCTGCAGTGTAATCATTGACTCTAAGCAGTTTTAACAAATGGTTCATATACATTTTTATATGCCAACAATTATATTTATGCACATAGAAATGTATAAATTATTGGCAATCGTGTTCCTGACACATGTTTATCTCTCCAGCTCCTGCATATGTCCGTGTTCTCTCAGAGTTTCTCTCCCTGCGGGCGTTTCCTTGCAGCGGGTAATAACTATGGAGAGATCGCGGTGTTCAGGTTAGTGATCAGTTTAATCATGCAGTTATGGCAGTTTAGGTGGCGTTGTTAGCCAGCTGGTCTCCTATTGTTTGTTGATGTACGTGTGTAAGCATCTTCTCTCTCTCTCTCTCTCTTTCTCTCTTTCTCTCTATCTATCTCTCTATCTCTCTCTCTCTCTCTCTCTCTCTCTCTCTCTCTCTCTCTCTATATATATATTGGACTGCAGATGAAAAGTAGTTATTGTTACTAATTCTGGCATATTTACATGGTGTATATTTATACAACAATGTTCATGAATATGCATGGTCCCTATTAAATAAACCAATAAATAAAAAATGTAAAAAATATATATATATATTGCGTGTTGATGTTTAAGTGTTCTTGTTCTTACAGTCTTTCAGCTGCACTGAGTCCAGATGCATCACAGGCGAGCCAGAAGCCCATCCTTAACTTCACTGGTTAGACTGAGATTTAATTTTTCAAAGATAATTTTACCTTTACAACATGTGTCCTAGACTATCCAACTCCCAAACATTACGTGTATCCAGTATTGCAACAATGACAAGTGAAAGGGCTTTTTAATTGTTTCAGCTCATGATGGTCCTGTGTTCTCTCTTCTCTCCACGGACACTCATCTCCTGAGTGCTGGGAATGGAGAGATCAGTGCCTGGAGTTGGGCAGAGCTCATCAAAAAAGTAAGAGTCAGTTGTTCAGTAAATGTTTGAGTATTTTTTTGGTGTTGGGGAAAATGTATATTCCTTTTCATAGTTGTGCTTTGTACATATGGATACGGTAAAAAAAAAAATTGTATATTTTTGTCTCCACAGAGCACCAAAGCTGCATGGACAAGGAAACCCAGTTATGAGTGAGAGACTCAAGATAGTGATAGTTCATTTGGTTTTATGACTTTCATTATTGTGGGACCTGCCTGAATGTGATTTCAAATGTTTGTGCAATCTCTCATTCCATACAGGACTAGTCTTGAAATACCAGAGATCAATGCAATGATCATTAACCCAAAGGTTTGTACTTCACCTATTTGTGTTGGTTATTTCTAATACATGCTTTTCATTAAGGAACCATATTTTGTAGTTAGCTGTAATAAATGGTTCTATTTAAATGAGATTATTAATTAATGAATTAATTAAATTATATATTTGTGTATGTCTAGGTATCTTAAAGTTTATCAATTTATTGCTCGTTTTTACAAAAAATTCAGGACAACAGCTTGATAGTTGGAGGAGGTGACAATAATATTCACATCATGGACATGGAGACTGGCATCTTTAAGGTCAGTTAGACTACATCTTTGTATCTCCAGGGACAATATTTTGAAGGCCCGCCAACACGGTATGATTTCCCCTCTTGCACTTCTGCTTAAATAATAGCTTAAAAAAACGTGTTCCTAAGGAAATATAATAAAATAAATATCTAACAAAACTGTTTAAATGAATTGACATTTTCCAAATATAGAGATAGTTACTGCAGACTGTTTTGTAACACCCTATACTGAATTCACAAGCAGACATTACAAAAAAA